TCCAATCTTATCAAATTTATTTTCAGATTCGATTTCTTTTTTATCTTTTACTATCTTCTTAATCTTGTATAGTCATCTTTTAGTTCTAGGTTTTTTATGATTTTTATTAGTCATGGTTTCTAAAAATAATTCTCTTAGGACTGGATTGTTCTTTTCTTAAAATTATAATGGCTTAGTTATAAATCTAATATTTGGGAGTATTTTTGGTAGTTCCCTAGATTTGAATGGTCAAAGGCTAAAATGAAGAAATAGCCTCCTTTTTTAGGCTATTTTCATATATTTCCCAGATTCGAGTACCCTAAAATTTCAAAGATTGTACCTTTTTGTGTTCAACCAAGTCCTAGTTACGAGAACAGGGCTTCAATTCCTGGCTCGATTACATGTCAATTAGACAAGGATCATAAGGTAAACAGTCAACATTTGTGATGTACGAGACCATAAGATCTTATAGAGATTGAAGAAAGAAAAAGTTTGGCTGGCCTCGTTTCTCTTGAGAACATTAAACACCATACCACAGAAAAAAGACAGAAATTCTTATCCTACCCATTTAAAGAGAATGATCACTAAATCATGCCTAAAAATGAATGTGAAATGGAGTTCTATCTCCAGATTACTCCCTTAACATCCAAATAGCTAAAACTACAAAAAGAAAGTAGAAAGAGGGACTGAGGAAGAGAGGCAATGGCTAAAGCTTGGCATTCAGACGAATTCAATTTGGAAAAAAAATATATATATATAGAATACACAAGTACGAGCTTCTTAATCATCAACAATTCAAATACTCAAATGTTCTTCTCGAGGCAAGCTTTGAACAGTATCTGACCATCTTCCTGGTGAGTGGTCGCTACTATTCGAAGACACCTGAGCTTTTGCTCTTGCCTCTCTAATCATCCTCAAAACCTCCCCCGTCACAGGACGATTTTCTGGTGCAACTGAAATACAAGCCATTGCAATGTTCAAAAGTGCGCTGAGCTTTTCCTCAGAAGCCTCGTTGCTAGATGATGTCGGCTCATCACCTGACTCTGTCCCTTCTCCACGTACTGATCGCACCCATTTAGGAATATCCGAGCCATATTCTTCAACAAGGTCCTGGGAAGGAGTCTTTCCTGTCAGGAGCTCGAGAAGAAGGATGCCAAAGCTATAGATATCGGCTTGTTGCGTTAGTGGCCTTCGCATGTCACGACATTCAGGTGCTCGGTAAAAGTGGGAAGAAGCACTGGATTCCTCTACGGAATCTATGTTTCTAAAAGGTGTTAGCCCGTAATCTGTGAGGCAGGACTCGAAGTCAGATCCCAAAAGCACGTTTGATGATTTTAAGTTCCCATGAGTTAGACCAGGGTTCTGATGGATATAAAGCAGTCCAGTTGCCAAGTCCTCTGCTATTTTTAGGCAGGATGTCCAATGAAGAGGCTTTGAACCACCTGAAGCTCTTGATCCTGCAAAGTATTTTTAGTAAATCATGCATGAAGGCAGAATTAATTAAACAATCAGCCTCAGCATGCCACATTTCGTGTTTGAATGAAAATGTACCATTCATTTCTTAAAATACTTGCATAATTGGCAAGCTTGATATAAGAAGTAAATTTGCAAATAATCTGCACCTTATTTCACTCTATTAGACTCTACATTTCCAACTCTGATCTAAAGATTAACGTTTTTGTTCTTTTTCTTACTTTTTACCCCCAATAAAAGTGAATATAGTTCGATTGGACAGCAAGTCTAATAAGAAGGCTCACCAACTTTAAGGCTTCTTACGGAATCTCCCTTGAATTCGAAGTCGAGTTTTGTTAATTTTTGTGGTTTACATTGCTTGTGACGTAACTTGTTCTTAAAACTGAAAACTAATATTCTTTTATTTTCTATCTTTTGTTACCTAATTATCTGCTTTTTAGATATTGAATACCTAGTTGGTCAATTTGATAATTGTTACAGATCATGAAAGGGGACATTAAGGAAAGACATCTCCATTTCAGTCAAGTACAACAGTACAAGCCATAAGTGCATTGGATTGTGCTAGATGTACACCCAATTCATTACCTAATGGATTGTGTACATTTAGACTAATCCCAAGTGCATTACAATAGAAGTAATATTTTGTAATTCTTACTGTTCAGTTTATCTGAGTAAACTGAGGCCAGCAACTATATTTTATGCTGGAGAAGCACATGCCTAAATATCCAAATTCTTTTTTAAGTATTATTCGGAGACAAGCTATATTACTTTATATGTGACTCAGTATCTTCCACAGAAGTTTGGATGTAGCATATCCTGAACATAACATGTTTAAGATAAAACTTCACGTATATGTGCCAACATTGAGATTTCATCCCAAACCTATCCTAAGCAAACTGTACGAGAATAAGATGAAACATAGTCTTCTTGCAAGAATTAAGGAACCATTAGCAGCAGAGTATGAAATATGATGGCATAATGGGAAAAGTCGCTAAAACTCCTTAATTTACTAGGAATGCTATAATTTGTCAGAACTCTTACACCAGGTATATCAGGTGAAGGAAAAGGACATACAAGGAAATGACAGAATCTCTTTAAATGACGATAGGTAATAATATTACTTTCACAAAATGCCTGCATGAAAATGGAAAATTTGCCCATCAATTAGATGCTACTGAAATGTTCGTGATGCCGGCTTCAAGAGACACTTTTGTTCAACAGAAATAAATATAATGCATGATGACAAGGTGCAATTTAAAGGGATGATATATTGGATTCATCTGAGATTCTGAGGCGGTTCAATGATCATTGACCAAGCTACTTCGATAGCAAGATCAATTCTTTGATCAACTCTCCCCACCCCTTCGATGAAGATTATAACTTTATGAAATATATTATATAATTGAATAGAACAAACCAAAAACACATTGAGGAAAAAACATTTCTATTGCAAAACTGAAAAGGCTTGAGCTGAAACATATAGGATGAGAAACAAAGTGAACAAGGCTATATTTAAGGGGAGTTGCATTTTGCAGAAAAATGTAGCTGCTGTGACTGAAGACTAAGCCTCCATTTTACAAAATTATAAATGATTTATAAAGAGGAATATTGGTGGGTAGGTTCCATGAAATGTATGGATAATAACTACTAGTAGCTATGAATGTGTGTTTGAAATTAATGTTTAAATTTGACTGAATTTATAAACAATTTATAATTGTGTATCCAAAAGGAGGCTAAGTAATAACATCACTTACTGCAGTACACAGATGGAGTAAAAAAGGTGAATCTCCTTAGAAATTCAATATTGCAAAATATGTTTTATGATCATGAAGTTTCTTTTAGGATTCTAATTACTGCTGCATCTGTCAAATTTAACAATTACAGTTTGCGAAAAAATTTATATTACAAGGAAGCCTCCAGAACAGATCATATTGATTTGACTATTAAATATAAGACCAGAAGTCTCCTTGCGAGTGATCAGGAGAAACACTTCCACTTGCAATGAATAAGTTACTGCAGTCCAATTAATAAAAAAAAGGAAACCTAAAAGGTCGAAATATCATGCTAAAACACTCACTACAAAGAAATAAATGAGGGCTTATATGTTATTCACAGGAGGAAAAAATGCAGATTGAATCTGAAAAAGAACTCACCATGAATGAGAGTGAAGAGACTGCCATTGGGATAATAATCATAAACGAGCAGGCGTTCTTCCCTAGCCTGGAAATAAGCCCTGAGAGGAACAAGGTTGGGATGCCTTAGTCTACCGAGAATTTCAATGTGTCTCCTGAACTCCTCCATCCTTGGATACCTGGCATCCTTTAGCCTCTTAACAGTCACAATGAAACCCGACTCCATCACTGCTTTGTATGTGCTTCCCGTGCTCCCCCTCCCCAATGTCTCGGCTGAAGCCTTCAACAAATCTTCCAAACTATAGCTCATTTGCTGATCCCCTGGTCCGAGGAACACCAAACTCCCGGGTCCCTCACCCCCTTGGTCCCACGAGAATCCTCCTTGTTTTCCCCTATTATCACCATCCCTACCAGCACTAGTAGTCCCTTCATCAACTCCTCGTGCTACCACTTTACTCTTCGTCTCCTCTTTCTTACTTCTCTTCTTCAAACATGTAATCAGCAGGATAGCAAAAATGCCCAACACAAATCCACCAACACACGAAACAATTATAATAATAAGCTTCTTTTTCCTCTTATGATTCCCCGATTTTTCAGTGGGTAGGATTGAATAGGATGGACTAGTAGACGGACCAAAATTACACGGTTTTTGAATTTTATCACCACATAAATCAATGTTACCACTGAATGAAGATCCATTAAATCTAACCAATGAATTTGTCACAGGGATTTCACCAGAGAGCAAATTATTAGACACATTAAAGAATCTCAAACTAGTCTGATTAAAAGGTGGAATATCACCTGTCAATTGATTGTCCTGCAAATAAAGAACATACAATCTGCTCAAAGCAACAAAAGACTGAGGAATGTGACCTGATAGTCTGTTACCAGAAAGAACCACCACTTTCAGGCGGTGCATGACCGAAAGACTTGCTGGAATTACGCCGGAAAACTTATTATCATTGAGATAAAGAGATTTCAGATTTCTAAGGCCAGAGAGTTGTGGAATTGACCCAGATAATGAGTTTTCTTTAAAGCTTAAAACCCTAAGCTGATCCAACTGATTCAGGCTTTTCCCATCCAGTGTGCCAGTCAAATTTACTCTTTCAACCACAAGCTTAATGACCCTTCCATTCATGCATTCTTTAACCCCTTCCCACTTGCAGAAACCAGTTCCTCCTCCCCATTGAAGAAAACTAAATGGGTCAATTACAGCCTTTAATGCAAGAAGTGCTTCTGCATCTCCTGATTTTACATGTGGGAATGTAACGAATAATGACAAGAAGAAGAGGGGAAGAGAGGGATTGCATTTCAACCACAAAGGAATAGCCATTGACGGAGTTTAATAATGACAGCTCTTAACTCAACTAATATGTCTCTAAAAATCAAATCTTGATTTCAAGATTCCCATACTTAAAAAGGAGACAAATGGTAATCAAACCAAGAAATAGGGGTTTTTTAAAAAGTGTTGATGATGCTCACAAATGGCAGGCTGGATATATACAATACAAAAGGCATTTTGCTTTACTGTCTTTACTTTTTAAGATAATCGCTTTCATTTTGAGAAACCCATCTCCAGATCTAGCACTTTCAAAAAGAGGATATGATTATATGAAATGACAGGGTTATTGTATTTGTGCATTGGGACTAATTGGTATCATTATCAACACCTTAGGTTTGACCAATAGAAAAATATGTTTTACAAGAAAAGAAAACACCGACACCCATAGAACATAACTAGCTTAGAATGCAAAACTCCTCTCCTACACGTCTTCTTCAACAAATGGAGCTGCAGCAGAACCCAGTTCCTGTTTCTAAAAAGAAGTGTGTGCATTTAGTTTTTTCATCAACTTCTTGCTCACGGACATACGGGTGAAGCTTCACGTGAAATCAGCTCTCTTTTTCAATGCTTCTCAAGACAATGATTTGTGTGTATACCCAAAACTTATATGAACACTGGGCAGCTCAAACCAGTCATTTAGCATTGGATCCCATGCTTACCAACCAAACATTAAGCTTGGTATTTAACTGTTTTGTAGACAGCACAATTCTTTCATATTTTTTCGAGGAAAAAAATATTATAAGGTTGCACTGACACCGAGAATGGACACGAGGAGATACAAAGACATGTAATTATTTGTTTTAAAAAATTACATATTTACAATAATTTAATTAGTGCGTGTTTGGTGAGAATTAAAATTAAATTTTTAGTAGATTGTGATAGAAGTTTTTGAAATGTGTGGTTGAAAAGTCGTGGGATCCATGAAAAATGTGGTTAATATTGATTGTTTGACTTTGACTTAGATCAGATTGATTTTAATCCGAAACAAACAGACCTTTAATCATTTGAGAGGGATTGAATTTGGCGGAGATGATGAACATTTTTATTTTTTTTATTTCTTTTTTTAGTTGAAAATAAGTTTATAATAGTTCGTCATCAAAAAGTTTTCCTCTATTTTTTTTTAAAAAAAATGATGATTGATACTAGGACTCTACTATAATTAAGTTGAAGATGAAGTTGTAACTTTAGGCAAAAATTGGGTCCAATTGTGCAATTTTTTCTTATAGAGTGAGAACTTATGTTCTAAATTGAGTGTAATTTGCAGAAGCTTTTAGAATGTTAATGCTCCAAGCTTCAATTTATTGCCACTTACCATGAAATCTAGCAACCTTAATGAATCAAAGCATTTAATTTTTTTTTTCTTTTCATTTTCCTCTAATAAGTTTTCAACTTTTCACATTTGTAGCATTTAAGCCATCAAATGCACAAAACAATGAAATGAAGCCTTAATTTCAACTAAAAGAAAATTGGTAGCGATCGACATCTCCCGACTCAAACCTTAGTTGTCGCTGCCTCTCATTGCGTTATCGTCGCTACCTCCACATACCATATCTTTACCTTCAATGTAGCAACCCTAGACCACTTATATGAAATACGCAAGAAATAAATTTGTCATTTGTGAAATTTTCAAGTTGAAAATAATTTTCTTTTACTTTTCATTACATTTATTTTCTATTAAGGTTCATTATTTACCCCTTCAAAAGTGAAACACGTCAACCACGACTTGTTATTGCTCAAATTGTGAATCTTGGTACTACGTAAAGAAAGTTGGTACTTAAATGCTCTATTCCCAAAGGTTGGAAATTCTTCGTATAGTTAGTACGCAGTATTAAATAAAATTGTATGTTACAATAAATAAATTTTAACTTTATTTTTCTCAGATAATGTTAACAAAATAATAGAGATGAATGATTGTTTCATCCTTATAACACAAGGGTGGCAAGTGAAGTGCCAACCTTAACTCGGTTAGATTGGTCGGGGAGCGGTTAGATCCAAAAATGGTGGCCATGACGTCGAAGCAAATCTAGGGTGATGGACCCAATGGACCCCACCTCACAGGCATGCATTACACAACTGGGCCCTACCTAATAGGGTTGTTGAGATGTCTTTATAGCTATGTGAACCCACTCTCATTCATTGTTCATTGCTTCAATCTGCATTTAAAGTACAAGAAAGTAAAAGCTTGTTTGATCCCATTATTTTTAAAATAATTTTTTTTCTCTCTTATTTTCAATTACACATTTTTCAGTAAAATAACATTATATGCAAATTCAAAATTTTTTCTTATTTTTTAATCACACATTCTCTGTCAAATCTCTATTTCAAAATGTATTTTTTACAAAAAAAGATGCTCAAACATGATGTGAGTAAATAAGTTACAACAAGCCATGATGTGCTACTCGGCTATAATGCAAAGCGCAATGCTATTCTTCTAAATTTCTCATATTTATCAATAGGATAATGCTAAAGGTACATAATGATCTACATAAGGGTCTACATAATGCAGATGTGGCAATCATCCGGTAGTTGATGTGTAAGTTTCATATTTGAATTAAAGGTAGGATCACATGCCACATATGCATTATGTAGACCCTTATGTAAATCCTTATGTACCCCTAGCATTGTCCTTATCAATATGTCACTGTCACGTTGTCCAACGAAATTAAAATACATTTTTATAGTTTCTCAATCTCTAATGAATCTCAACAAATTCAAATTTAAACCCATTATCAAATAGCAAGCTCAAGATATCATCTCTGTAATTTCAACTTTCCTGTACAGAGTGCATATCGAACACATATAAACTCCATTGAGAAAAGCTGAAATTGCAACGAGTGACATCAGTCAATCTTTAAGTTGGCATTTCTTACAACTTCGTGCTACGTAAACCTTATTTCGGACTCAATCTAAAAGCTCTCGTATCATTTTCTAAGCTAGTTAATTGACATGTTCTTGGATCGCCTCTTTTAGAGCATGATGATTGCCCTCGAGATCTCAAATTCCCCAACCACCAACTCTTGGAATCTAGGGACTTAAAACTTAATATAGTTCCTACCTTGGACCCACAAGTCTATCATTCTTCCATCATGGGTCCCTAACTTATGACTTATAGCAAAGTAGTTCCTTCTAATTATTTGCACCTGAAAAAACTGTTACATCTTACATTTTACACTTTTCCATGGTACTTTCAAAAAACCAAATAAATAAAAGTTACGAAAAATTATTTCATAAAATCATTTTCCCCCTTTGTGCCATCAGTCATTCAACGCGACAATAGTAACATCACGTCCTCAAAAAGCTAGACCCTGTACTAGTTAACAGATTATGCACAACACAGATTCCATCTCGTGCCTTGGATGGTCGAATCTGACAGGCCAAATGTCGTGCCAAGTCGATTCAACACCGCATTCAAGAGTACATATGCTCGAACAAGTTATTTAAAGAAATTCAGAAAGCAGTGAAACATTAACATCTATGAAGCCAAGAAATGTTCAAATCATTTGTCACTTGTAGGTTCCATGCTACAATATGGTATGGCCCACCCAAAATTCTGGGTACCAGAAAATGGGCTGTTTTATCACTTATGTGGACCGACCCAACCTCCAAGCTTTAAGGAACGTTTGGAAAGAGCAGTCAAAGTTTAGATTCAAATTTCTATACGCCTTAAACATCCCTCAACGTCCCATAACTACAAGAGAAAGAATCTACAGATGAAAATAAATAGAAATTCATACACAAACATGCACCGAAAATTGACACTTGAATTACGGAAATAAAACCCTTTACATTTTGATTGAATTTTAGTCCATTGTAATACAAGCAGATTTTGAGCAAAACAACCAAAAAACATTGACAATTCTACGTCAAAGTACGAAATATTCTTGAATGGAATTTCTTGAATGAATTAACAAGGTTAGATCTCCACCGAGTTACTCATGTTCTTTATCTCGATTTAGCGGGACAGGAGATCAAGTAATTCAATCGCAATCTATCCACCACTGCATCTGTTCTTTTTTTTTTTTTTTTATTAGTATCCCATAGCATCTGAGACCAAAAAAAGAAAAACTCGTTGAGAGGGCAACGCATCAAATATGAACAAGTACAATGCATAATTACTCCAGAGGATTCATGCAAAAGATTTTCTTTTTTTCTTTTGCAACTAGGACAAGTTATAATCATGTTCGTCCAGCATATCACTATCATGATCAGGATCAACAAATCAAGCTTACCACATGTACTCATATACGAAAGCAAAGCGAAAGTGCTGTCCATTTCCACGGGATTGGAGTCCTTTCTCCAATTGATTGTACTACCAGAAGTTAAATTGGCATACTCCTGAGGAGAAGAAAATAAGATCGCTTGAAATTGTTTGATGTCATATTCATCCGGTGCAGATACGTGAATATTGAATAACAGAACCAAATCCTGTTTCATGTTGTTTATAGAATTTGTAAGTCAAGAATTCTGTCCAATGGAACTTACCATGTATCATGGATGGTCATCAACAAGTTGTTCTGCGATATTAGAATGCATGCTATCACTTCAATACATTTGATTGCAGTAGCAGGGACATGAACTCCTGTGAAGCAGCAATGAATCAGATGGAGGTACAAAACAGATTCAGTTTCAGCCCACGTTTTGAGTATAAAGCCTAA